GACTTATTTTCATTTTTAGATGCCACATTTTCGGTCTTTGAATCATCAACACCAATTTCTTTGTTAGATTCCTTCATATCAACATCATTAATCAACTCAGACTTCTTTTCAAATGAGTCATTTACTTCTACTTTATTTTCACTGGGAACACCCTCCATATGTTTTTTAATTTCTTCAACATTATCTTTAGAAGTAGTTAAATCATTTAATGTATCTGCAGCATTGGTTGCTTTTTTCAAATCTGTATTCTCTGTTTTAGTATCCGCCATTATTATGTTCCTTTTTTTCAAAGATATTTCAGTAGTAATTTAACATGTACAAACATTTTAAGAAATGAAGCTTGATGATATTGTGACTTTCATGTGATCATGTTATCATGTGAGCAGTTATCCACAGATCTCATAATACGAAGTTATTTATTCTTCATTTTAAGAAAATATATTAGTCATTACTAACATATATTCTTCATTTTTTATTCTGAAAAATAAAAAACAGTAGATTAGAATAATAAACAATATGTTGTTATACATAATATATCGAATAATTTCGGATAAAAAAATGGAATCAACAGACAGTCGGTAAAAGCGGTCACGCATATGCGGAGTTACCTATTGTTTTTAGGTTAGACTCATTTCATGATGTAAAAAGTAATATATTGTAAGTATAAACCAAAATGTATTGAATGTATATTGATTTCAAATATCTATACTATTCATTTTTTATATTTAATATAAATTTGATGTAGTTTTGTGTACTCGGTGACATTAGTTGCCAATTGGGGCAATACAATTTGCAACATTAACTGAATAATGCATGCAGCTTGTGACATTAACATCGAATATATAATAATTAAGTAAGTTGGTATTTCATAAAAAAGAGATCTGCATCAATGATGTCCCAACATTCATATCACCATAATTATTTGCAGAAATATTATTTTATAATTATTTTCATAAGAAAATGAAATTGCTTGATTAAAATTTGATAACTTATCTAAGAAAATATATATTCATGTAAAATGTTTATCATACGTTTGCATTAAAAGCGAATACTTAACAAAAGGTTAGGATAATTGCGTTGTACGTTTTACAAATACCGAATTACCTTGAATTATACGTTGTCACCGTATAGCGAAGGGTGCACTTCGTATTACAATATCAATTGCACTTTCGATAAAACTGTGACATTTGTTTGACTTGCGAGTTACTTAATGACACCATCGAAGTATAACATTATTGGCCGACACGTTCATAACCTCACTTATCCTCCCTTTGACAATTTGGTTACGACAGTGAAACGAGAGATCGTAGGAACGAAACGATAATGACCATCGGTACCGTTAAACAGAGGTAATTGTCGTTTTAAAGAATTATTGAATCGATTGTACATAAAATACTGCGCACTGGGAAGAGTTTATAAAACCACAGGGACGTGTCAATCAACTCTGTTGTCTCTTTTCTTTTCTATCGCCTTCTCTCTCTGTCCCTTCGCCCCTCTTGCGTTCTCAAAGTGTGCTCTTATTTTTGCATTATGGCTGACGGTCACGGAAACAATCCGATCAGGACAATAATGTGGTATGCTTAAAAGAAGTTTCCACGGTACGTAGGTAAAACGAGAACACGACCCTGTGGTGCGTAAGGCTAGTGACCTCTACTACTTTGAAGTGTGCGTTTATGTGTGCATGCTTGTGTTCCCTGTGCGTCATGCATTATAGTACTCCGACGTGCTGAGTCTGGTTCATTCGATTGTAGACATCCTCGATATTCACGGTTCAAATATTATTGGAATCCGTATTTTTTATGAGAAACAATATTAAAAACACGATCAAACCAGTCGTAGCGCTCACTGTTGCATTTATTCTGTATTATGTGGCATTTCATGTAGTCAGTACCTTCGCGGATTTTTTTGTTTCGACCAATCAAACGCGTTCACACGTTTCTTTGACAGCGACGCCTTTCGTAAGCTATCAGCACGATATTCACTGTCGAGGAACTTTGACCAAAGATTATGACACAATCCACGTAAAAAAACCGGCCCAGAAGATTCCCACGATTGAAAAATTCTACGTACTCACGGCACTGTAGCACACTGACTATTTTTTGTTTGTGGCCAAGCCGCGCGCGCGTGTTTTCAACAAAATGGCTGCTGTCGAAATGTACGCTTACAATTTGTTGGCGGCTGATTTTTCTGTCGAAAGATTTTACTGGTTTTCAATAATTTTAATAAGTCTGTATTCGTATGTGTTTACGTGTTTAGTATCTATTTACTAATTAATGTTTGTTTATTTATTAAAAGCATTAGGAATTACCGAAGACCA